TGGACTCTGGGGTTGAGATCCGGGGGTTGATACCTGGGGATTGGGATCTGGGGGTTGGGCTCCGGGGGTTGAGATCTGGGGGTTGAGACCTGGGGGTTGAGATCTGGGGATTGGACTCTGGGGGTTGAGACCTGGGGGTTGAGATCTGGGGGTTGGGTCTGGGGGGCGGAGACCTGGGGGTTGAGATCTGGGGGTTGAGACCTAGGGGTTGAGATCTGGGGGTTGAGACCTGGGGGTTGGGATCTGGGGGTTGAGATCCGGGAACTCAGACACAGCCAGGGGGACCCTGCCGCCCAGTTTCTGAGCTGGGTGCTGCCCGGAGAGCCCCAAGAACCTGTGGGGCAGCGTTTGGTGTCAAAGGCTGGCCCACCACCATGGCTCTGGCCTGAAGGGACCTCAGACACCACCTGCTCTACCTCTGAGGTATGACTGCCCAGGACCACAGTGGCTGGTGGAGCCAGAGACTAGGTTCCCCGAGACCTCGTGATAACATGTTACTTCTCAAGCCTGCCCTGGCCTGTTGAGCCGTGTGTTGCTTTGTAACCCCTTCTTGCTGCGGCCCATTTAACTGCGTCGGCACATCTCTCCGTCCATCAATTCACTCTCTCACTCAGCCACCAGGACAGGCAGTATGAGTCCACAACCTCTCCAGTCTGGTCAGGTGTGTCAGCCTACGCACCCCCTCTTCATCCCTAACATGCGAATGAACCACCCAATACCAATGACGTAGAAATGTAAAAAGAGCAGCCACGTTTCCGCCCTAGGGTTTTCTGCAGGAACAGTCAACCCTGGACTGGTTCCTGGTTTTGCTTCTGTTCGTGGTTGGTGAAGCCACAGGCAGGGAACCGCCCGTGGGGCAGAGCTCTGGCTCGGTGTGCCTCAGCCATCAGACACCCACTCAACACCCTGCCGCAGTTTCTTCACCTTAAAATATGGATGACTCATGTACCCCGCCCTACCAGCCTGAGCATAGAACAGTCGGCCTATGTCAGCTCACCCTGTGCTCAGGTCAGGGCCGGGCCTGGATGTGAGAGAGAGAGAGAAAGAGCACGAGAGCGCCCAGGACAGTGCTGGGTGGGGCCAGGCCTGGATGAGGGAGAGCGCCCAGCAAAGTCACTCCACAGAACTTCCCAGACCTTCTATGAACAGGGTTCTAAGAGGGAAATCAACATTTAAAAGGTGAAATTTTTTAAAGGTTCTATTCCTTGAATACATTGAGGATTAGAAATGCAAGGGCAGGAGGCTTACTTAAGAGTGTTTAGCTAAAAAGGTAAAGTATGTCAGAAGTAACCAGAAACCTCTATTGACCCCTCAGAGCACAATGTATCTGAAGGGGTTTTCAAGGAGCAATCTAAGAGTGTGCGGGAGATAAACTGAAAAGTGGGTCATTTAAAATCTGGTAAAGTAACAAAACCCTTAAGGGGTGCCGTGAAAATCCTGTTGGTGCCAGGAGGAGCCCTAGGCATGGAGGCGTGAGCTCTGGAACTTCGTAGGCTAGGTAGCACCAGGCGAGTGGACACCCTCCCTTTATCAAGAGAATTTTATTTTTTTAAAAATAACTACAGAAAAGACAAAGAATTAAAAGAATTTTAATAAAATCAAGTTTACATTTGTACATCTTGTGTATTTGGGACCCAACCAGGGGCAAAGGGTAGAGTTGCAAGGACAATGGTTTCCATAGGGGAGCAAGCAGAAAGCAAGGGCTACCCGAGCTGTGTGACAGGCATCGCTCGATGGTGTGACCGAGGCCCCTCCCCCCAGTACAGCTTCCCAGAGCTGAGCCAGGCCCGTGCTGCACAGCCTACACACCCCGTTAATTCTTGACAGGCAACAGCAGATACACAGGCCATAAAATTAGACAGTCTTGCCCACAGAACATAAAATGACAACCGAGTTCAGTTCATGCTGTTTTAACTAGGATGGTTACACAGAACCTAGAGGGGAAAGGGGCTGAGTGGTGCTCCCAATTGCTCTGTCCAACAGCACGGTCACAATGCAGCAGGACTGTCGAAAGAACATGTATTTCTTTTCAAAATATGATTGAAGAAAAGAGTCTTGTAGGAGTTCGAGAAAGATTAGAGAAAGGTTTTGAACACAGGAGACAATTCTGCAGTGTCACAGAATTCTGCCTGTCTTCGAGGATCTGGGAGAGCTGGAAAACTGTTCAACTCCAATTCCCATTATTCTAAAGGAAAAAAAAAAAACATTTCTAAGTATTGATCAATGTGCAGGGAAAAAAGAGACGAGTGGCCCCAAGTTAGAAATGAGCAATCACAAGACGTTTTCAAGATTTTACCCATTCTGAGTAGAAACAGTGCTTTGCAAAGTGCATATTGCATGGACTAGTTGCCCGTTCTTCGAGGAGTAAATCCAAGCACACAAGGTGAACGGTGATATGCACAGTAATATGGTGATTCTGCAAGCCGTCCGCAGGGCAGCTCCTGGCTGGGCTTTGTGTCCACCCGAGCCGAGTAACAGCACATGGCCGCGTTGCAGGCAGAATTCCTTCATTATCTCCTGTTGAGCTCACCGAGACTTAGGAAAGAAAGCATGGATGCCTTTGCCTTCTTGGCCCAGTGGGCATCACAAAGGAAAAGGAACGCTGACCACTGCTAGTGCAGAAGACGTTTTTAAAGACTGGAGTGGGCTCTTCATCCCCCTCCGTAAGGCTGAGGCTGAGGGAGGCCGTGTTCCAGATTCTCTTCTCACAGACACTGATGCTTGCTTGCAAGCCTTGCATGGGGTACAGTGTCTTTATTGTTCATTCCTAACAGAATCAATCATCAAAATGAAGAAATCCGAGAGGGCAGTGCAGTAACCACAGAACGAATCTGCAGCCTGGGACCGACGGGCATTCACTTCCCTGTGAGCAGGAGACCTCAGAGCAGGCATGTAAAGTGCTGGAGGTAAGGCCGCGGGCTGGGCTTCCTCCAAGGGTGTGGCATGACCTGCAGGGAGGGCGCCACTCCCCACGTGCAAGGGCAGCACCGCCCACGCCTGCCCAGCTGAGAGTGAGGGGAAGCCGGCCTCGCCTGAAAATACGCTCGGTTTGTGCTCATTGTTTCCCTTTGAACTTCCCAAGGATTCCATAGGAGGTACATTTAACAAGAAAAACATCCCTAACAGATACGACAGATGATTTTCTAAATGAGAGAAATATTACAAAGATAATATCACTTCAAATAAAAATGTTTAGTTAAGCACATTGACCGTGGAGTTTCAGGCCAGCACGCATGGGCCCTGTCCCCACGGTTCCCTGTCTCTGCCGTCGTCCAGATGGGCAGGCGGCCCCTCTCTCGGCCGTCATCAGTTTCGTAGTGGTGTTCACTTGCTAGAAGCCAGAGGGAAGCAGGAGGGAACGGACACACCTCCCAGGCCAGCCAAGGGCAAGAGCAGAGCCCGAGGTCATCGGGAAGCAGCCACTGTGCCGTGGACGGAGCACGCACCACACGGGAGAAGTGCGACGTGAAACCTGCCCGCACAAGACCCTGCCCGCACAAGACCCTGCCCTGGCCACTCGCTGGGCGGGAGAGGTCACCTGCTGCCACCTGAAGCCACTGTCCGGGCAAGTGTGTGCCTGATGTGGCGTGGGCGCCAGCCTGTGGGGGTGCGCCCTGAAGGCTCACGTATCCGTCCAAGTGGACAACCGTGTGTCTGGGCGGGCGAACGAGCACGTCTCTCCTTGTGGGTTTCCTGTTTACATTCAATGCCGATTGGTCAGCAGGGAAGAGAACTTGTTTCACACTGACAGAGCCTCCCGGGCACCGAGACGTCGCCTCTGTCTTGGCTGGCACAGCGCTGCCACGTTTTGCTCCTTGCACTGGGCAGGCTTGGTGTGCGAAGAACTCGAGGTCCCCCTGGTGCCCAGGCGGCCCCTTCAAGTCCGAGCACCGGGGCGGGGGGCGCTGGGGTTCGTGTGTCTGCTGGCAGCACAGTGGGTGTGGACGAGGTCACCGGTTGGGTATCTAACAAACACGGGCTCGCAGAAGGGACTGTGGCACACCTGGCACAGCTGTTTGTCTGAGAGCCGGAAGGAGCTTCTTTTTAGCTTCATCTGCGAAAATAAAGACAGGTTCTCACATGTTGCTGTTCAGTCTTTCAGACACGCCTGACCCCAGGGACCACTGTTACTGATGAGCATGGCTTTAATATCAACTTCCTGAAACACAGTATTAGAAGTGAAAGTAACAAATACAGCCTTGGTAACTGGGGAAGCACAAAGAGACTCGAAACCCCTTTCTTATTTTACAAACATCACTGGTGCTTGTCTGGCGGAGGCATCCCACCGAGATGGCCCCTCGGATGCTCTGTGAGCTCGGGCGCGCTCCGGCGAGGCCCGCTTACCATGGTGCCCTTAGAGCTGGATGAGGCCCCCACCCTCGCTTCCCGGGGCCGCTCACCGACAAACAGGCAGAGGAAGGCGCAAACAGGGCACCTGGTCAGAGCCACAGGGCTGGCTAGTGGCACATTCCTGACCTCCTAGGACACATTTTCCTTCCTTAAGGTACTAACAAGCCTGAGCTGTGACGCCATCGCCAGCTAAGAGCCGTTCTGCACAATTCCCTGGGGCCACACGGCAGCTGTCTGGAGGCTGAGCAGCAACTTGGTGAGTTCACCTTGGACACATTAGTGTCATTAGTCCTCCGACATTTATTCAATGCCCTTGGGACACCTGGCTTGGCTCTAGAGATCATAAATGACACTTCCTGCTCTCAAGGAACCAAGCAATTACGAAAGGCGTGCTCAGAATGGTTAACCGGCTGAGGGGTGTGAAGGTTCCACCAGGGCACCACCTGGCCGGGTTTCCTGCAGGTGGTCCCCAGATACGAAGGGACAGGTGAGATCATCCTGGCAGAGAGAACGGCGGGAACGAAGGCCATACATGTGGAGAGCGTGTCACCCTGAGGGGTGCCACATGTCCTGGCGAGCCATGATGGGCCGAAGAGGTGAGACGGAATCTTCCAGGCACCGACCTCTCCCGGGAGCCAATGACGCTTCCAAGGGGGACCCTGCTCCGGGGAGACTGCTCCTCCCATGGAGGGATCTCCAAAGGGAAGGAAGGTGGGGGGCTGTTGCAGACTGAATTGTGCCCCCCAATTCATACGTTGGAGCGTATGAATGGTACTTGGAGGCAGGGCCTGTGGCAGGTGCTAAGGTCAAACGAGGCCATGGTGGGTGCCCAGGACGGGAGTAGGGCCGTCAGAAGAGGGAGAGGCCAGAGCTGCTCTGGTGCGAGAGGACACAGGGAGCGCCGGGGAGTCTGCACCAGGCGGGGACTCTGCCGGCCACACTTCAACTCCCAGCCCCTGAACCTGAGAAACAAGCACTGCTGTCTAACCCAAGGGGGCATCTGCTAGGGCAGCCCGAGCTGAGTGACAGGGACAAGATGTGGCGCTCCGAGGGGCTGGGGTGCACTCCTGGCTCTGCCATTGACTGACTGCTCTGTACCTCAGTTTCCCCTCCTGTGAACGGAGATAATAGCAGTACTGCATTCAAACGCTGTGACGAGGAAGTGAGGTCATGATGACAAGTGCGGAAAAGCGCTGGGCGCACAACGTGCACCTGCCTTCCTGACCATCGTCTCGGAAAGGGAGAAAGCACGCTCCGCACAGGCCTCTCCGAGCGGAACGCAGACAGACGCTGCAGAGAAAACACTGACAGAATATTCCCCAGGCAAATGCACGCCACACAACACCCGCGTCCCGAGACGCCCGGCTCTCACCTGGTCGTGCTTATAGATCAGGTTCTCCGACGTGGCCAGGCCGAGCGCCACCTGCGCGGTCCTCCTGGTGTGGGTGCTGTCCCGCACAGCGCCCGTCAGGAACGGGCAGAGCAGCTGCACCGACCAGGTGCCCGGCAGCAGCTGCAGAACCTGGGCAGCGTCAAACTCC